TAGGATTTAAAAAGAACTTCAAACTATAAATATTAAATTTAGCTCTCAACTATAACAAAAGCAAAAAACCTTCATATTTAACACAGTTTTTTTATTACTAATACGCTATTATTTATAATAATGATCTGATTACTAGGTAAATTTATATTCACTTATTAAATGATAAGTTGCTCTACGATTTGTTAATGCAAAATACATTATTTCATTCAATTCTAATAATTTACTTAATCATCAATTTATTTTCACAACTTCTGAATATTATTTGGTTCAGTTTCAATAAATTTATTTAATTATAAAATTCTTTTCCTATATTTATTAAAATTCAATAGCGATAAAAAGGTATTTTAAATTAAAATTGCCTATACCGATATTAAATCAAAAATAAAATACTTGATACTAAAATTAACTTACTTCACCAATGCAAAACATTGTTCATTAAAGTTCTCCATGTTTGCTTAATGCAAATACAATTTTTGGTTCAATTGCTAATGACTTATTTAAATCTGACAATGCTTCTTTGTGTCTGTATATCATTCACATTATTACAAAAATCTTAAGCACTTATGTAATAGTGAGTTCGCTATACCAAAAATTAGTGAACTTTTGTGATTTCTTATTCGTATTTCAGTGATAACCTATTTATAGTATTAATTATAAATTATTCGTTAATATTATTTAAAGACAAGAAACATAATAAGCTAATTTATACCTAAACAGTCTTAGTATATGCCAGTAGTATTTCCTCAATAAAATTTTCTGAAGCATTATTGTTATCTAGAATAATAGTGCAAGCTAATATTATTTCATATTAAATCCTGGCAATTCTAACCTGTTTTTATTAATTTCTATCTGCGAAAATATCTCATCACGAATTTTTGATATGAAAATTTAAGAAATAGTGCAAGCTTAAAAGAAAATGTAAATTTCTAACAAAAAATTTACACAGCATTAATATTAGCCATGTAATTTAAAGTTTATGCTCAGTTCGTGATATTTTAATTAGTCCACTCTTCATCGATATCTATTTCATAAAAATTTTCAGATACCTCATTATCAACTATTTCTTCATCAAACATGTTACCATCGATTATTTCTTCATCAAACATCTCATTATCAGTTATTTCTTCAAATATCTCATCATCAATTATCATCTTCTCATTATTATTAAATGCTTCTTCATCTTCCTCATCAACTATCTCTTCGTCAAATGCTTCTTCATTATCTCCAGCAACTACCAAATCATTGCGGGTATCTTCTATATCTAAATCTATATCATCTATACGATTTTCAATGATAGCTTATAAGCGGCTTGACATTTTATAATTCTCGCTTCTATTGGAATTCAATGTAATTCCAGCTGACTCAAATGACTTGACCAATAATTCTGTATTAATTTCTTTCCATGTTTCTGATTTTTTGTATTACATATTGTTGTATTTTCTTCTTTTCTTCTTTGTTACTTAGTAGAAAATAAATATTAATGACTACTAATTTAATTTTTTTAAAAAGTAGCAATACACTAATATTTTAGTTTTTAAATCTATCAATTTGTCCAATATACTTTTTCTAATTTTTTTTAATAACCAATTTGACTCTTGATTCTTTGAGCTTATCATCATTTGCTTTGGTTCAAAACCTTATATAATCACTGCTTCTAGAGATCAGGAATTTTCTTTGTCATTTAGAAATATTTGTTTTACTTATTCTTATAATATCTATATTTTCTTCTCTTATCTGTTCTAAGAACATATCTAACTTGTAACTGTTTACTTTAAGGCTATTAATATTATATATACCTAATTTTAACATGCTGAAATCTCTTGTTACATGCTCTTTAATTTGGTTTATTTTTTGTTTTGCCTTCTCCTGATCACTAAGTTTTTCTTTTTAGAGACCTAAGCTATTCTGTAATTCGACTAGTATGCCTTTTTAGAAGCAATTAGAAGCTTTGAAGCTTCTATATCTGCTTTTGGCTTTAAGTGCATATTCTTTTTTCTCTTCAAGTACTAGTAAACTTTTAGAACTTCGCTTATACTTATACTGCTTATATCTTTTCTTTGTAGTTTTGTTTGGCTATCTAAATGATACCTTCCTTTAGTTCTGTTTTTGTAATCACTTTTACTACTTGTACTACTTATTTCAGAGCAGATTAAGCTTTCGTAATCTAAATTAGCAATTAGCTTCTTTGATAATCTTCTTTTCTGACTATTTTTATAGCTATTTAGTACTAGTTGTTCTTCTTATTTTGTATCTTCTTTTTCTTTATTCTATGCTTTTTTAAATACATACTTCGAGCATCCTTCACCTGGATCTTGTTTAGCTTTTTTTATTTTTCTCAGACTTATAGAGCTTTGTCCTTGTAGTACTCTAGATATTTTAGTAAACTCTATATGTATTTCATTACCTATATGTTCGTTAGCTTTTATTGTAGTCTACTTAAGTTTGTTATTGTAATAACAAACTATGAATTTTGAGCTATTTGAGCAATCTGCTTCATTTGAGAAGAATACTGTTATACTCCTCTTGTTGTTGCTATTAGTATTTTTAAAAATATGTAAAGCTTTAGCTTCTGTATATCTTACTTGTCTCCACAAGAGTATCTTGTTTGTGTCTTCTGATAAGTTAAGAATTTTTCTAGAATATTTGCTTCTTAATTTAAGTACTTCTATATTATTTCTTCCTGGTATAACTTTAGCTAAGCAGCTACTTAAAAGTAAAATATACTAGATATCTTCTAGGTCTTCTATATATATAGCATTTAGAAGATCACTCTGCCAAAAAAGAGCTAAGCCCCAAAAATTTTCCCGCAGCCTTTTCTCAAAACTCTACTAATTAAAGTTACCTTTGGCCCTTAAGTAAAGTTGTCCGGCTCACTATTGCGGACACAAAAACATAAATTTTATTTTAAATAAATCCCTCTCTAACAAGAAAAACATAATAGAAGGGAAAAACAACAAAAACGACTTCTTTTCGCAGTCTCGCGAAAACCAACAGGCTAACACTAGTACTTCCTCTAATGAAAGTCCTTCTGCTCTAAGCACTCTTAGCCAAAATCGCAAAGTTCCCACTCTTGCAACCCAATCTAGCTCCACAACCACAGACAAAAAAATGAGCTCCGAAAGTTCATCTTCGACCTTTGGTTACCTTTTCGGCTCTAAGAAATCTAACCAAACTACCCAACAGACTACTGCACAAGCATCTGCTACTATCAACGAACAAGATTATCCCAAAAATCTTTATGATATTCATATCACAGACTGGAAAAAACCTAGCTTCTCTGTTCACTTCACTACTCCTCAATTCGCAGACAAATTCATCTTCTCTATCGACTTTTCCAAAAATGGCAAGATCGCAAACATGGTTACACACCCAACACAGTGGATTTGCAAACACGAAAACCTAAATCAATCAATCATTTTCGATCTCACTAAACACAAAGGAGACACTGTACACATCAACGCCAAAAGTCTAAAAAATACAAAGACTTGTGATCTAAATCCTACCGTACTTGCATACGAAACAACACACAAAGCCTACAACAGACCCAAAGTCCTAAAAGATACTCCCTGTATTCCATACAACATGGTTACAGAGCTTGAAACAGATGAAGAAGCAAGTGAAA